CCGGAGACCCATTGAAGTGACACGTCTTTTGTGATTTTCTCATTACTCGAGTGGAAGGTCGATTCTGGAAGCCCATCTAGCTACCGAGGCGATTTCCTCCCTTCGCTTCCTTCTCGCTGCTTCGCCCGCGCGCACGCTCTGATCTTTCCTCCCTTTTCTCGCTCTCTTCATCTCCTTCGCCATTCGTCCCTCGCGCGTACCTTAATGTTACATCGCGGATAAACCTGGCCCGCGCCGAAGTACCTTACGTGTAGCTGTGTACGCGGAATTACGCTCCATTCTTGTCGCTTCGTAGGTATTTCGCGTCCTCGTCGACGTCCCTCTGCCCTGCACCTCGTGCGACTTCCGATCGGCGGTAGATCGGAAAATTATATTTCCTTGCGCCGCCGCGCAATCGTCTTGCAGCCGTTGAGTCTCTCTCTTCTATCAATCCATCAATCCGGGCTATTATCTGTCCATTGTGCTCCTTACCCATCTGCAGTCTCCATGTGATCCTGAACGGCCACCGCTCTGTCTCTTTTCTGCTCTCTATGTCAGTGTCGCGCGGGGAAAATATAGTTGGAAACGAGAAATTCGACGAGGTCCGCGCGACGAGGCGATTTGAGACCATATAAAGATAGTTTGATCAGAATTCGATACTATTTCCTGTTCTCCGCTAATTTCATTGATTGGCTTCGTCGTGCGATAAGCGATTGAATTGCGAAAAGTAGATTACGAAAAAGTACATTAAATGATAATAAAAAAATAAGCGATTATGTAGTACAACTCAGAAATGCTTCGCTGTTACAGCCAGAGTTCTAAATATTACACTTAAATTATATCGCCGTTTTTTGTATCTGCTAAAAAATTGTCTGTCATACGTAGAATTTATAGCAGCAACATTCTAAGAATATATGCAAGAAAATATAGGTATCATAACCAAATATGATTGGAGTTTGAATTGGAGTGTGGACTGATTAAACGTCATAGAGAAACTTTCTTGCTAAATTTGACAAATAGTTCAGATGCAATTTCTGTCTTTGTTATCTATATTGATTAAATACAAAACATATGTGGTAGTATCGCAGTGCTTACTAATCACTTATCCGTTTTAGCTAATTTTTCGTACCTAAATAATTCTCCCTATAATTGCAAGATTACTTTTTTCAGTGAACCTTTCTTCAAAGAGATAAAGTCTATACTCTCGATTATTCCCATTGGGAATACGTTCGTTTTATACCAAAAGTAGGGCATCGCTTTGAACATTTTCGCATTTCCGGAGAAAACGCGACGAGCGACGTGAATCGCTTATCAAACCGACGTGTTGGTCGGGAGTAGTCGTTCCTACCCGAAACAAGTTTGCGTCGAGTCGACGTCTTTCTCGGTGATTCGCGGCACCAATTTGCGCTTTCGCGAAAGAGAGACAGAGAGAGAGAACGGTGGAGAAAGAGAGAGCCGAAGTCGTTACGCGGCATTGTTCGTGCATTGTTACCGAAGCATGCGCCGACGTTCTTCCTAGTGGCGTGTCCATTGTCGAGCGAATCCGGGCGAGCTCGTAGGCGGAAGCGAGGAGAAGTCGAAGACTATCGTGAGGCGGAAGGGTGTACCCTGCGGAGCGCGCGCGCGCTTCTACGGCTGATCCGGCCGTCTCACGTCTGTCCGTCAGCCGACATCAATTAGGCATCATAAGGCGCTCGTAACTGTGTACACACTCCTGCGCGGGCACACACTCAACGGAAACACACGTTAACTCCTTCCGCACGCACGCACGTCACCGGCTGGCCTGTGCGTTTCTTGCAATTCCCTTGCGAATAAAAAGCAAAACAAAGAAAAAATTGTCAAGAGAAAGAGAGAGAGAGAGAGCCTCGCGTTTGTTTCGCAACTGTTCGATTTTCATTAAATGGCTCTTCGAGTAAGTCGGAAGTTGAGATTCTATTGAATTAAAACTCGAAGATTGAACGAATTAAAAGTTTTCGCTGGAGGACAGTCCACTTGGTATTGACAGAAAAATAAGATCCCGCTCGCGGCGCTAACGCTCAATTAAACGAAAACGGTTTTCACTTCTCCAACTTACGTAATGATACGTCCGACGTATTTTGTGTGACTGCAGCTTATCGATACAGCCACTCGTATAATAGTTTATTATTGGAGGGACGCTGAACATTCCTATACGCACATCTCGCGCGGGCTACAAGCCCTTCGGTGTGCAGCCCAGGACGCACGTGTGTCACGCGCGTGTATACCCGACGTGTATACAGCTCTACGCGTATACTTACACGTCGGACAGGCAAACAGGCTTAATCTCACAAAGGTGTTCACGCATAGACACACGCGCGCACATTCGATCATGTAAATCCGCGCTCGGTTGCGCGTAAACGCGCGTAAACACCGTTGCAGCGACCATTGCTACCGTTGATTCCATTGCTACACCGTTGATTCCATCGACGTTTCGCCTCCTTGGAGCGTGTCATCATCTCGTTCGCTAACACAACAAGAATGAATTGCCCTTCCTGCACTCTCGCAACACTCACCTGACAAATTTTCTCCCTCAATCCGTCCGCCTGAAACCGCCGCTTTCGTGCCCGGAAGGGTTGTGTATCTAGTTCCGTCCGTCCGTCCGCCAAGGGAGGCAATAGACTGCTCGGATGAAAAGTGCTGTCGGTCGAAATCCGATAGGATGTCGGATTTCACTCCTTAACGCGTAGCAGAATGGAATTCTTGCGACGTCGCGCGTTTTCCGGGATTTGCCAAGAATTATTAGCTCGAGAAATGCTGGATTTTTTTCACGCGTTCTCGTGTAGAATTATGACGTTCAATTTTTACGGAAATTTTTATAGAAAAAAGATCGCTAGCGCGAGATTGGCGTTAATGAGATGCTGTCGATTGCAATCGGTTTCGTTTACGTAGTTTATTTAAGACGCGATGATCTCGATATTTTCAACGCGCATCATATTGTAATAAACATATCATTAAAGATTTCTGCGAGACCTGTTTCGTATTTACACACCGCGCGTGCAGCACTGCGAAAGAGAGCGCGCGTGTTCCGAAATGGCCGGTTACCGGGGCACGCTGGTTCCGCCTTGTCGCGCCCCGTGTCAAGCAGCTTAGCGTTGAGGAAAAAAAAAGCCAGCCAATCGTCAAAGTTGCGTGCCAAGAGCGGTAAAACGTCGCTATCGATCCGTCCTCCGGTATTTACGTAAGCACGTGCCTGAACCGCATCTAGCGGGATTTCTTTCTCCTCAGGTCGCACCTTTTTCATCTCGACGCTCGTCGTTTCTTCTTCCGCTGACCTTTCTTCATTATCGCTTCGCGCACGCGGCCGATCTTTACGATAAGAGATCTCTCGCTGTTTTATTGGCCTCCATCAGAAAGTTCCGGTGCGTTTTTACGCGATTTCTGCAGCGCTATAAGCTCGCGCGCGCGAGCTTGAGAATTTGTTTAATACTTATTTTTACGTCGCCGTTACGTCGTGCAATTTCTGCAAAAATATTTCCTTTTAATCGCGTTAAATGTTTTGTAAGAGTTTTACGATACTGTTTCATCACTCCGCAGAAACGAGGTGTACCAGCTGTGCGCCACGGCATTCTTGCGCGTTTTTTCTTTCTTTTAATGATGCCGATCGAGTGACGCATGGCGCAAAAATGAATCTTAAAAAAGAAAGTATAACACATTATTATTTCTATGTTATTATTCTATACGTAGTATGTGAATTATACTACATATAGAAATTATACAATTTATGAATTGATTTGTGCACGTGTAAGTCACATGTGTAACGTGAGGCAAATTTTCCGCAACGGCGACGGGAAATTGGGTTGCCCGCTACGATGCGATTCGAGCAAACTATACGCCATATGTGTGATTTGGTCGATAGGTTCGCTTGTCGACGTGTTAATCTGGCTATTAGGTGGCGGCGGCAGCCGAGATATCTCGCGAGCTCAGACCGTGTGTGCCAGATGGCACGATCGAGATAGCTCGGCGCCGTGTGCATCTCACCAAGTGCATCATCGATATCTGACTCCGAGGTCGCGCTTATGCCCGCGCGAATTAACTCGCGAGAGAGGAAAGCCAAGCCTTTAACTCGCGTTATAACTAAAGAATGGAGCCGATTATAACCAGTGCCAGAGGCACCAAATTAAAGATGAACATTTCTCTTCGCATTAATTCGAGAAAATAGATTCAAAAAACAAAAATTCTCCAACAAAAGTCTTGCGCAATAACTCGATCAAGTGATCAATTAGATCTTATTAGAGGTGTGCGAATAGTTCGAATTCGAATCGAATCGAATCACAGTAGATTCGAGTTCGCTTTCGAATCTGCAAGATTCGAAAATCGAAATCGAATAGTTTGAGAATTTCTAATCAACAATGGTTTGATTTTGAATTGATCGCCTATTTTATTTGGTTCATTTACAATAAATAAGTATTTTTGATATATGTAATGTATTCATATAGATTAATCAAATATTCGAAAGCATTCTAACTATTTGTGTATACACATATTATTAATATTTTCTAGTTTAAAATATCACATAAGATTATGCTCCTTTGTAATGAGATGTAAATCGAAAACAGGTTTTCAGTTTGTTTAAATTATTACGTAAAATAATATAAATCATAAATTTTGATATTTATTACGTGCAAATTAACATGTAACGTTAATCTGGGAAAATTCGATTCAGATTCGATTCGTATTCGAATTAAAGAGATTCGATTTGATTCGAAGTGAAAATTTCAGATTCGATTCGATTCGACCATGCAAATGCTTGATTCGCACACCTCTAGATCTTATCTATCCAAATTATATTATTACGTATATTTTTTTATATTTTTTCTATATTTTGACACATATTCTAAGAAATTTGAATTGAATATATAATTTTTTAATTTCTACTCGACTTACACGACAACTCAACACATTTGATATTTTCATCGCGATCGCTTATCGTCCTAGATATAAGCATCTCGAATTACCGATCTTCACAACGATTTTTAACCCTCTGTTTTTTCTTTTGTTTCCAGGTGAGTGTCCAGGAATTCCAGTACGCACGCGGGACGGGCGCGTCCATAACGATGGTAAGCAATGTACACCGTCGCTTTATCCGTCGTATTACTCGCGCTCCCGCCGCGAAGGGTTCCCTCTCTCCTCGGGACGACGTGATTCGCGAAGGATATGGGAAGAGGTCCTAATATCTCGCAGGCACACATCCGTCTTAATTAACGTCGCGATACATCTCGACTTCCGCCCGGGCTGCCGCTCGGGCCGCGGCATTCGGTTTAATATGCGCCAGCTTACTCCTAATAATCCGGCTTGCATGACAAAAATTACCGCAGAAATTTAGCACGTTTCCTTCACCCCGCCATTAATCCCCGTTTATTATTTTACTTTGGGGAAATGCCCTTCGCTAAACCATCGCGAATTGTATAGACGAGATGGACGATAGAAGAATTGCGTCTTATTTCAAAATAACGCATAGACGAACGCTAATTAGGTGTCGCGTTTCCATTGCGTGTGTCACGGCTATCCTCTTCTATTATCCTTGTAATTTGAACTTTGCAATTATCTTGTAATTTACGGCATTAATTATCGCGAAATATTGTTGAATATGTGTATCACTTTATAAAATCTGACTCCTGTGTTTGTGTGTGTGTGTGTGTGTGTGTGTGTGTTTTATGTATGGTTGCATGTATGGTAAATTTCGTAATTTAGTAAATTTGACGTGGATTTGGTCGCGCCGAGCTCTTTACTACATTAAATATAAATGGCAATTCTACCGGGACATATAATCGCACGTGAATCAATCATTTTAGCGTGATAATAAATATTGGCGTCGATGTTTTACGTATTGAAAACAACAGTTAGTCAATGCCGATATTTTCCATCGTTCATCGCGGGTCTGGTATATATTAAGCTGATCTAATGCGTCAATGTACAACGTATAACTGCAGCTCACTGCATTAATCCATTGATGTCACGATGCTTTTATTAAGCATGTGCCGTCCAAACGCTAACGCGATGAGTCGTCACTCGTGCAATTTTCGTGAAACGCGGAAGATCCTGCGGCGTTAATCAAATACGACGGCTTAATTAATTAAACTTTTATGGGAACCAGCTCCAGTGTGCAAACAGCCAGCGGAGATCTGCTCCCATTTTCGCCTCTCCGGCCTCGGAAAAGGGTGGGCTCCGAACTGGCCGAACGCCGCGGTCGTTGAATCAGATATAAAACGGCAGCGAAGTGCCGCGTTTGAGGCACCTTCTTATGCATTTCCGAGCACACTAAATGCGACGGGACGTAGTTTCCGGTTATGCCGCGAGTATAAGTAGATTCAGCGGATGTTAGCTTTTATATCCGCTTCGAAACGCGATTGCGGATAAGCTTCTCTCAGCGTCCTAAAATATTTCGCGAAACACCCGCGACGAGAAGGTACAGGCCGACCTTGCGCAAAATCGGTCGAGACGGTTGCGATTGATTAAACCAATCCCAGATGGTGATAAAAATGAATTCGTAATGGACGCGGTAATGATGCCGTGAGACGGCTGTAATACCGCCGGCTGTTTCTAGGAGAAAAATCGAGATCGCCAACTCCCCCCCACCCCTATATTTTCGATCGCCTGTCTGCCTCTTTACCGTCGTTCCGGGCCGTCCTTACCGGCGTGAAATAAGAGACGTCCCGCAGGCGACAGTGACGAATGTGTTTGTATATTGTCAGGCCGGTCGTCAGGGATGTCACACGAGAACACACGTAACGCACGAAAGACCGTCGCGAGGGGGTTGAAACGGCGCTCGGAACGGCGGATATGACGTACACGTCAAACAAAGTGTAGGGAATCCACGTTAATATTGGAGGGAAAATAGGATAGAGGTTCTTTCGACGATGCGTGGATTTAACCTCTGTGAAGTTGGTCAAAATTTCGATGAAATAATTACGAGTTCTGGCTCTTCCCCAAAGTGTTCTAAAGTTCCTGATATGTTTTTAAAGAGAGAACTCGCAATTATTTAATCGAATTAATAAATCGAAATTCTGACAATGGGATACCAACTTCGTAGAGGTGTGGATTTATTTCTTTTTTTTTCTATTTATGCAATATTTTTTAAGGTGGATCGTTGAGACTGATTTTTCTCTTGTTTTCTCTTTCTCTCTCTCTCTCTCTCTCTCTCTCTCTCTGTCTGCTCTGTCTCTATTTTTTCCCCTCTTTCTCTTTTAGTAGTATTTTCTATTTGTTGCAATGGAATACTTTGTCGGCACATGTAAATATTGCCACGATCGAAGGATCATGGCAATCCATCCATCCCGGCGTAATGTTTATGCATGTTTGAACGACAACAAATTGAAAGGGAAATAGAATAGAGCGCTTTTATTTCGTCGAGTGTTACGGCAGAATTTGATATTAACCACGTATCGATTGCCGTGGTTTCAATTCGTGCGCACGAATCATAAAAGGGTTTGATCGTCCGCGTTCTTTATACCGCGTTCTATTCGAGCGAATCAACTTCTCTCTCTTTCTCTCTCTCTTTATCTATCTATCTCCTCCGCTTCCCTTCCTCCCTCATGCGTCACGGACACTGATTTAAAAGCGCGATCCGAAAAAGAATGTAGCAGAGGGAGGGGTAATACAAAAGTGACAGTAAACCGAAATGCTCCGTCGGATCCAGCGCGGCGGCACTGCGCTTCAGCATTCCATATTCCGAGAGTGCTCCTATAATAATGCCACTGCGAGATCCGCGTCTCGTTCCAGACGGCTTCATGTTTTCACCGTATCATTGCGTGCACGGTACATTGCACAATGGACTTAACGATCGCGATTGTTTCAAAACGGAGCGGCGCCCCCCGACACTTACGACCCGCATCGGCAAATGCGACGCAACGCGCGCGCGATGCCGTGACGCACCGCGGCTTATCTTTATTCCGCGCGTAAACCTGCGGGGAGGGTGGGGGAGGAAGGGAGGCCGGGGACGACGGAATCTTATCGGAGCGTGCAAGCCTCCAGGTATCGTTAGAGCGCGACACGGCATACCGACGAACAAGCTGACCATTAGCATTTGTTTCCTCGTTACGAGAGATCTCGACGGGTCTTTTCCCCATCTCATTACCGGAAGTTTCTCCCCGCGTGTTTCGCGGAGCAACTCCGAGCGTCTTTTACCTCCCGGCGCTGCGGATTCACGCGTCTGCTACACGAGCTCGTAAACGGTTTATTTTCTCTCCACCTCCCTCTCCCCCGCCTTCCCTTTAAGTGTCATTCAGTCGATACTTATCGTATTATTGATCCTCCGCACGCTGAATATTCACTTGCCGGAGAGGGGGGGGTCTACGTTTTTTTTCACGAGTCCGTGCGTAAACACGGAAATCCTACGAAATACCGGGTCGTAGTGATAGTGATATTACATATTTTAGTGCATATTACAAATGAAGGGATTAACACCTCAAATTCAGCGTACTAATAGTAATTATTCGATAATATGAATCATTAATAGTACTGGTTAAAATCGGGAGTCCCGCGATCGGAATAATCTGAATTAATGTTTCCAGTTGACAGCGACATGCTCGCACAATATCCTGATGAAATATTCACGCGATGTAACTCTCCCTCCCCCCTTTTGTCTCCCTTTTTCCCCTCCCCCTTCCCTGCGGTGCCCAGAAAATCATATCTGGTCCGCATACCGCGGGATGACTGTTTCTCTCTCATCTTCGGGCGATTTCCTGCGTGAGAACGCCTCTTCGCGAAGTGTTTCCTCTCTCTGTGCGAAGCCGAGAGAGAGAGAGAGAGAGAGAGAGACGGAGAGGGAGGACCTTCTTCACTCGGGGTGCTTTCGCCTTTGTGCCGCGAGCTTACGTTATTCGCCAGGACATCAAAGCGTACGGCGACGGAGGAGCACGGGCGGTTTCTCGCCCTTGCGATTTCCTGGACGGCGAATTTCCGAGAACGTGACGTACGTGAAAACCGGTTTCTCAGGGGGCGAATCCTTGGCTTGACACTTCGGCGGTCCATGGTCTTTTAACCAACTCCGCTACCACCGGCGACATGCGAGCGGCTTTAAAAGGGCTGCGAAAATATCGTAATATGCTTCTCAGACGTTTTACATATATTATAGACTACAATAACGTACCTAGCCTTCATGCATAAAATAGCTTCGTTATTTTATAATTACTCTTTATTTAGAGCATTAATTTGTCTTTATTACAAGTAATTCCTTAATCATCTTATTAGAACGCGTGAAAATTTATACTAATCTATATAAACCCGAAGTATTATGCACTAGACGGTAGATTTGTTTGAATTTGGCACGTCTGACACAAAAGTGTTTTTATCACTATACGCTATATGTATTTCGCCCATGGTTTTGCCCAGGACAATGACCAAGCGTGTTTAAATTGTTCTCATTTAGAACTTCATCTTATTTTTGTTATAAATAATTTGGTATTACAAATAGAAAATTCATGTAAATCCCAAAGCAACTCAATTATGCGCGTCAGGCAGACTTATTTTAACGTCACTTCTAATGATTTAAGGTGTTTTTATTCATTGCTAGTTCGGCCACACAGTTTCACACGGAATCAAGGCTGTTTGAATTTTTCTTATTTATAACATTATATTTAATTTTATTGTAAATAATTTCATATTAGAATGAGAGAATTTACAGAAACTCCGAATCGGAATATTATACATTATATTGTACAATACACGGAAAGAACGATTTTGTTGAAAGGTCTAAAAATTTTGCTACAAACAGACCTGAAAATAATTTTTTATTGAAACATCAATATAATTTGTTGGAATGTTAAAACTGATAAGCATTGCTGTAAAACGTTTTGATATTCTAGCAATTATTTTGACTTTTGTACAAAATTATTTTGATTATTGAACAAAAATTATTTTCAGATTTGGATTCAGCAAAAATTGTTCTTTTTGTGTATGCGTAATTAATTCTGTTTTGACGTGTTTGACCAAAGCTGTTTTTACCTGCACCCACTTCGACTTTGTGATAACCAGGAATAAAGTACATTAAATCCTACTAAATGATTCCGGAATGTGTATTTTTGGAAATAATTTTTTTACACATCGCATTGAAGTATTT